GTGAGGTCCAGCTCCGGCTCGCCGTTGAGCGCCTCGCCGTCTTCGCTGCAGTCCGAGTCGAAGCCGCCGTGGAGCCGGGCGGCAACCGCCGCGGCCCTGGCCGCTCCCGGGGAGCTGGGTTCGGGGGCGAACATAGAGGCCGGGACCGGCGAGTCCATTGGGGAGCGACTCCGCTCCGCCGCCATCTTTAATAACTTAGGCTAATTCGTAGCCGGCCTCCCCTCCCTCCTCGGCGTATTTGCCTAATGTATGCGTGGCCCCGCCCCGCCCCTCATCGGATAATTTATGCGAAACTTCTCCAGCCGCGTAGAGGGTGACACGTATCTCTAGCTAAGGAACAATCGACCAGGCCTCTCAGCTACCAATCACTGCAGCCCTTTCAAGTACCTGATGAATAATTAATGAGGCCCAAACCCCAACAACAAACGCCTGAGACGTCACGCGCCTAGTTCGCAGCTCAGGAGGGGGCAGCACCGCGTCCACGCTACCTGCCTGGAGCCTTCCAGCCAACGAGACTGGGCAGAGTATGACTGACACAGCAGCCATCCAATGAATGGGGAAATACGCACAACGTTTACCCTCACCTCCCTCTTTTCCATAGGCGGTGTTCAGTTTCCAAATCTTACTGCAAAACAGTCACCGCGGAGAGCCTTCCGATGATGGACAGGGGCAAGGCCCAATCTAGTCACCCGATCGGTCCCGCGCCTCGGGCCACCGCCCACCGAGATAGTAAACTGCACAAGGCGCCTCCCTCCTCTCAGTGACTCACGGCAGTCCCTGGAAGACCGAGGTCGGACGTGCTGGCAACCTCCAGACAATTTTAAAAAGAAGGATCGATGCTTGGAATACTATAGCAGCCAAAGCGAGGCAATTAATTAAACGCTGACCTTAGGGAGAATTCTCCATTCACCGCCTCTGCGGAGAGAGCAATTACAGGGCCAAAAAGAGGCAACCAGCTAAAACACAAGTCCAAAGTACCTCGCCACATTTGTGAACTGTGAAGCTGAGATCTAGGGTCTGTTAGGGTAGTTTCCTATGGATGATTTTTCCAGAGTATCATCAGTTGTGGAAAGTCCCAATCTGCAATACCATCAGCACAAGTTTTAGGTGTCTTGCCCTGTCTCAAAAGTCTGAAAAGCGGGACGCCTGGGTTGCTCAGTCAGTTGAGCGTCTGCCTTTGGCTCCAGGGTGCTGGGATCAAGTCCCACATCAGGCTCGTTGCTCAGTGAGGAGCCTGCTTCTCCTTCTCACTCTACCTACTTGTGCCCTCTGTCAAATAAATAAATAATCTTAAAAAAATAAAGTCTGAAAAGCTTGATAAAATGAGGGATTAGCTAACATTTGCATAATGCTGGCCTTGGCCACTCGTCCCAGGCAGCAATCAAGAAAGAGCAGCCATTGAGATGGTAACACAGCCAAGATTTAGGGTTTGGAACACAGGATTTAGTAAGAGTCGGGGTTCAAAATGGCCTTCAGTTTTTCAGGGATACACCTGAAAAAAAAAAAGGCAACCTCTGCTTGCTCCTGTTTTCAACAATTTTTTTTTTATACAATCAAGTTTTATGTGCACAAACACAGCTGGGAATTTGGGACAAGAAGTCTTCAACTCCAAAGGTCTTGATAATAGCTCTTCGAATGCTTTTTTTTTCTTTTTCTGCCTAAATTGCTCACCACTATCCTATATATGCCTCTATGAGGTAGTTAAAAACATTAAAATCTTGATTTGGCAGGAAAGCCAAATATCAAGCCTTAGTACTCTAGAATAATAATTGGTATTTACCATCTTACCGATTGGCTCTTCCAGAAAGAGCTTAAGTTCAGAATGTGCTGACACCTATTGGTAGACTAAAAAAAACCATGTCGTTCTCACTATAGGGCTTGCCCATAAAAAAACACTCTGTCAAGAGTAGGTGCTTCTTAAACAGAGAAATCTAAAATTACATTTTGGGAAGGGAATTCCCTACCCATTTTTACATCCTCTTTCTGAAAACGTTCTAGAGTTCCGGTTCCAACTCTGGGCCTACTACTTACTAGCTGTGTGACCTGAAACAAGTTAATTAACTCTGAGATTCAGTTGTCTACTCTGGGAAGAAAAAAAAAAAAAAGCAGCTGCATAGTTAGCTATAAATAAATGAACAGTGCTTGCAAGACTGTCTTACAAACCTGTGTTGTAAGCCTAATCTTATGAAAATATAACTGCAACCCTTAGGTGGCTTACAAATTACAAAAATTTAAGATAATTCAAAAGTTGTCTGGATTAGGGCAGGACTCCCAACCATATGGTAAGCACTCAGGCGTGTGTTAAAAGTGGTAACTGTCGTGAGTGTCATGGTGTTAGGAGAGTCGTGTTGTATAGCAAGGTCAAAGAAATGCCTGAATTGTGTAACCTGTTTTTCCAATTCTCTGCACAAAAATCCCAAAGAAGGGCAGCTAGGATAGATAATGCCTTCCACATGACCTAGAAGTAGGTAAAGGGAAAAAAGTCTACACGGAACTGGGTGTTTACCTTCCTGACACACGATAACACCTTGAAAAAATCCAGGGAGTAAAGTTCTGTATCAGCCACCGTGAGGTGGGAGCCCGAGGGCAAGAGGACAGTGGTCAGTGGGTAGTGCACAGAATTCGACACCACTGAAACAGGACTCTCCATTTCACTTGAAATCTGACTCCGGGCGAGGCACTTACCCTCGGGGCTCCCAGGCAAGTGCGAGGCGGCCGGGCCCGCTAACCAAGACAATTTACTCCCGGCCGCATCAGGTCACCTGGTGAACAGCGCGCCAGACAGAAAACGCTCAACGAAGGAGTAGCTAATCCAGGTTCTCGAAAGCACTCCGCTCGAGAAGCCCAGCCCACAGAGGGAAAAGGGAGGGGAGGACGGCGAAATGCAGCCGCAGGCCGGGTCGCCGCCCCGGAACGGCGCCGATGTCCGGGGAGGGGTGGGGAGCGGCGGGCGTCGAGGCGAGACTCCCGCTGGCCGCCCCGCCCTACCCAGCCCCGGAAAGAACCGAACCCAGGAGCCGGGCACCAGCTCTAGCGGCCGCCGCCTCCGCCACGCTCTACGGCTCACGGCCCACAGCCCCAGGCCGCCTCCCCTCAAGGCCACCCACACCCACTCAACCGACGGGTGGCAGCCTCAGCCTTAAAGCCGGCGCCGCCTGACGACAGGCTGACGTCACACGTGACGCCGCGGCGGGCGGGAGCGGGGACGGCGCAGGAGGGCGTTTCCGGAGCACGCGCCCGGCGAGGGCG